TCTATTCTATTCTCATGCGCCGCTATGATATGGATATGACTCCATTATTTAATAATGATGTACTATTTATCTCCAATAAATCATCGTCCATGCGAAAATGACGTCTAAAGAGCGTAAAACGAAAGTTGGAGAAATTATATAAGGTTGACATCTGCTTGACAGTTTGGAGTGATCCAAGTCATGGGTACTTTTGAGACAGAAATCGAAAGTGTACCCATTACTAAGGAACGTAGAGTTCCGAACGATGTTGACGTCCTTAACAATGCTGGTACTATATATGACTTGTGAAAAAATATTATCTAATTTCCCCACGATAACCATCGAGAATCGACTTTTTCACAGGACTCCCCCGAGCAAATATTGCCGCATCCAGAGAGCGTCCAAGTGGTACCGAAGGACGACCTGGACAAATGACTGTATAGTATATAGTTATTTGCGTCTACAGATTTGATTATTTAAGCTCACCTGATCGATGTTCATAGGTATTGCAACAGCATGTGGAATTTTTTGATAGAGATCGCGACGGTATAATCAGGCCGTACGACACTTATTACGGTTAGTTAGCTGATTTACCATGCTATCCATCGTCGAGTTTCTTCGCTCAAACTCACTTGTTCACTCAAATAGGCTTTCGAAGACTGGGATTCAATCCTCTGTTCTGTCTTGTAGCTGTCTTTATAATACATCCTTCTTTTTCCTATGTCACTCAAACATCTTGGATGCCTAGTCTAACTTTCAACATCAACACAAACTTTATCCACAATGGTAAACATGGGTCTGATACTGAGAGTTATGATACTGAAGTAAGTGACAAAACGAGATTGAAGGAAGACCGCATAGAGTTTTGAACGCTGCACGATTTTCATAATATTCCTAGGGCCGGTTCGTTCCCGAGAAATTTGAAGAGATTTTCTCAAAGTACAGTCATCAGACCCAAGACGCTTTGACATTCAGAGAAATTGTAACAATGATTCGTGGTAATGCGAATGTTATGGATTTCTTCGGAGTGTAAGTATAACTACTTTATTTATGTTTGTCCATTGCCGTGTGATACCTTATAACCTCCGACCAATATTAACAGATTTGCCATGGTTTTTGAATGGGGGACATTATGGCTTTTGAGGGCACGTAACGGGGTTTTATTGAAAGAAGATGTAAGAGCCCAGTATGACGTAAGTGAAGTCATCAAAACATAGATAATAAAAGTGTTCAAAGGTGATTTACACCCACCTCTAACTTGTCTTTAGGGCTCACTCTTCTATAAGGTCGAGCGAGAATTGAAAGAGCGCGAAAGCAAAGACAGGTAAATTAACTTCGATCGCACGAAGGGACGAAGCCTACTTGGTAGAATATGATAAATGCTAAAGAGCTATTAAGAAAT